TATATCAGCGACGCAGTGCGTGAGTCGTTTGATATCATCGGGATGGATCCTCGAGGTGTCGGGTTGAGTACACCACAGAAATGCGACACAAACCTAGCCAATCAGCCAAGCGAGTTCGATGCGACAACGCCAGAAGGATTTCAGAAGCTGTTCGATTACAACAAGGCTCTCGGGGAATCATGCCGTGCCATGACTGGGCCGTTATTCGATCACATGGACACGATATTCGTGGCGAAGGATATGGAAGCTGTCAGAGTTGGTAAGTCGTGTCGTCTAACGGTTGCATTTTAGGATATGCTGACTGGACTTAGCTGCTGGTGGCGAGCCGATGAACTACTTCGGCGTATCATATGGAACTCAACTAGGGGCGCAATATGCTGCTTTATTCCCGGATACCATTAGAGCCATGGCTCTCGACGGCATGCTCCAGCATACCGGTGCCTTTGCTTCGAACATCATGACGCAGGCAACCTCGTTGGACGCGACAATCCAGGACTTCTTCAAATTCTGTGAAGCCAATGCCACCAACTGTGGGGAGGGCGGCCAAGACATTAGACAAACTTGGAATAAGATCCTTGAAGTCGCTAATGCCGGAAACCTGAAGGCTGCAGAGTGCGATGGAACAGTCAAGACCAGGTGTCTTCCCCTCGCTACGGCCAACAACGTGATAGGCGCCGCTCGATCTACCCTAGAATTTCCCTCAGAGCGCAAAACGTTTGCGGAACAGCTCAAACTCGGAGCCACTGGAAATGGCTCTTTCTTCAGCCCGGGGCTCTTGTCAGGAGACATTTTTACAGACAGCCGCTCGTTGTCCATTACTAATGTTCAATGCCAGGATGGTCACTTCTTCGCAGCTAAGAGTCATATCGAAGTGCAACGAGTTGCTGACATGACGAGGGCCTTCACCGTTACGCCTGGTATGGGTGAATTCTGGCATCGAGTCATTGATTGCACTGGGTATCCTGTGAAGATCACCAACCCGCGAACGGCTTTGAGTGTCAAGGCGACACAGAACCCTGTTCTTCTTGTACACTCTCGCTTCGACCCCGCCACAAGTCTGGTGTACGCGGTGGGAATGACGGAGGAGTTCCAGAATGCGACCTTGATCTTGAGGGAGGGGTCCGGGCATACTAGCTACCTCAACAAGGGTGATGCGTCTAGAGCGGTTGACGACTACCTGATCAACTTGAAAATCCCGCCAGCCGGGACGGTACTTCCAAGTTAGTTTGTAGATGACATAGAATGGTGTTTCTGACGGCTTTTCTTCGATACTCCCATGTGTTGTTTGTTCCTCGAACCCAGGGCCGGGCCGTTGTAAGCTAACACCCTCGCCGCACTGGAAAGATTTACTAGATCGATTCCTAAAGCCCTCAGGACATCGACCGAAGATCAAAAGTATTTGCCGGAGTAATGTCATATAAACATTGAGCTACGTACATACATGATGACTTCCGTTTGAGCAGAGAGCCACGAAAACTGAATACGAGAATCTTGAAGAAACAGGAAAGATGGTATACTATAAAAACTTCGTCCACTGCTGGATATTTTCTTGGTATAGTTGGAAAGCAGTCCCTTATTACGTGTACGGTGGGGTCGCGCAGTTGCTCGGGCAGATTCTTGGCTTCATGGGTAAATGGTCTCAAGAGGAGGCCGTCGTCGGAGGTGCCTTGAGAACCCACTCTCCGATCATCTTGATTGTCTTTTGCGTCTTGATCTCGGCGTCTTCGAGCAAAACGGGGTCACGGACGATGCCATCCAGATGCTGGTCAAATCCGTGAACGGTGTCGGGCACGAGCAACCACCTGTATCGACTTCCATCCGGGTTCGAAACCTCAAAGTGGAACCTCTCGTCGTCCAGGATGAGCTCGCCCTTCTCCACGGTCTCTTCCTTGCCCACAACAGCGGGAGGGGCCGGGCGCCCTGCCAGGCTGTGAATCAGTCGCTGACCCTCGTGGGCAAGCAGGTCGAGCTCGCAGCCGATCATAAAGACCTGCGTGGGGAAAGCATCCTTTGGCGCATATGCAGGGCTCAAAAGCGGGTTGCGAGCGCTTTCGCCCGGAACCTTGTAGGACCAGTCGAACACAGGGGCGATGCTAACTAGGAAATCCTTCTCCTTGGCACGGAAACCACCCAGATCAGGCTTGTATCGTCGCGACTTGGCCTTCTCTTCCGCCTCGAGGGAGAGATCCGTACAAGGATACAGTGGGACGATAGCCGACAGGTGCTTCTTCACTGAAGCCAGCTGCGAGACCGCAAGACAAAGATTTCCGCCAGCAGACCAACCCGCCAGAGCGACTCTGGTCTTATCTATGGGCAGAGACTCATCGTTCAGAGAGGCGAGGAAGAGCTCTTCGCAGTCATGAATCGGGCCTGGGAACGGGTTGCCAGGGGCCTTGGCGTAGTTGAGTCCGATCACCATGGAGTGATGCTGAGTAGCGTACGCCGCGTTCCAGTCATCGTTGTCGTCGGGAGTTCCGAGCACGAAACCACCTCCGTGGATAGTGAAGAGAGCAGGCAGCTTATCCTTGGAGGTCTTGTCAAAGCACTTGGGGAAGAAGATTCTGGAACACCTGTCAGCTGCAGGTCTCTCACAGACAAAGAATTTGTTTTAGCCGCTGGCTGCATGCATACCTCACAGGAAGATACGGTCGGCACTCGTACGTCTTCACGAAGTCGGGGCGATGCTCAGACGGGATGATGCGTGCTTTGACGTCGCGGAGGAACAGCGCAGGCTTGACCACGAAGTTCTGGATCGCGAAAGCCGTCGCGCCATACCTGACCTTGGACAACAGAGGCGCCTCTTGAATGATCTGCGACTCGTCTGCGGGCGCGCCCGTGGTCGTCGCCGTCGTCTCGGTGGTCGTTGCGGGATTATTCTGAACTTCGGCCATCGTGAAGGGCTCGCGCGCGTGCGACTTTGGGTTCGGTTACGCAGATGCTTGTGTGTTTGCAGGCAGAGGGGACGACGCGGGCGGGGTTGGGATGATAAAGGTGAATGGCGGGACTTGGCCCGGTAGTTGTATCTTCATATGCACCTCGGTTTCGCATCCTGGAAGCATCCGGGCCATCACGAGATCCATGCCGAGTACGAAACAAATACGAAACGGACTTGCTCGACTTGCGAGGCCGACGTCATGACACACAAAAGCAATCTGGCGGGGTTTATAAGATTAGTTGCCCCCCGCAACGATTCGCCTTCTTTACGATGGCGTTCTTCATCAATTCGGCCGAACCACTGGAGAAAGTGAGGGTAATAGAGGGTCGCTATGATCGCGCAGTCGAGACCCTGCAGAACTTGAACCCTTGTCCGCTGTTCGGGTTGCTCCACTAAAACTCCAGCATTGGGGAAATCCTCACGAGCACAGCTACACAGCCTAGTTATCGCCTGAACGCACGTCCTGTACTCTCTAACAAATGACTCAACGAGAAAGTCCAACGATATTCGACAAATCAGGTGTCGACCTTGGAATGAGGCGAACTAGTCACAGCTTCAGTTTTGCGAATACGCAAACCCTAAACGATTTAGCAAAAGCCCACAGACGCACCGTGTTGAAAAGCTGACGCAAGTTGCTCAGCTCTAGGTGACGATTTGTGGCAACTTGCGGCTCAAAAAAAGACGTGAGCATAACTTCGGCTGAGGCTTCGTCTTCCCATGACTGGAAGCTGTAATGAAATTGCTCATACTTACATTTACTGAGATGACATTGCACTAGTTTAGATGAACTTTGACAAGCATGGACGAGCAGAGGCTTGTGAAAAGCCTTCTATCAATGGAATTTGCGATGAGATGACACAAGCTAGATCAAACACAACATTAATACTTCTGAAAGAGATGATGAGGTCTTTGATCCGAAATCACAACAGTAGTCTTATGTCAAGTCGTCCAATGTTAAGTATGGAGGCTTTGCTTCCACAACAGGATTCGTTGGCCTAATTACACCCTCGAGTCTTGTAGCCCATATTGCGGTACTTATCTGCCGGACCTTTTGCTTTGCAGGACAGATAACATTCTCTTCGTTTGATTGGAAATGACTATACCGGCAATTGAGGAAGTTTTTGTTGTTACAAACTGTGACCAAACCTGGAAACGGCGACTGAAAATCGCTTCTGTAATGCGAACGCATTTTGTGCATAACCTGCTATAGACATCAAAAGTCTCATCCCGTAGCTCGCACGTAAGATGAAGTGGCTGATCATGAAGAAAGAAGATAGCTTCTCTTAACAATTTCCAGCCTGTCGTCGACCATTGAATGTCTGGGGAACAAGCAGAGAAGAGGTGACTCTGGCATATATTGCCGTTGAATACACTTACATATCTACTGCTGACTCGAAGCGGACTGCTTATCATTCCAGAACTTCCGGTCCGTTATAAATACGCCGCATGGAGAGCAGTTGTGTATGCCGTGGAGTCGTTCTCGTCGTTCGGAAATCTGCGTAGACTCCGCAGCCGTCGGAGTTGGGCATATTCTCCGATCAGCCAGCCTAAATCTGATTGTCCAGCTCTTTTTAAATGTTCATCGACGTCTTGGCAATCAATGACTTTGGTCACTACAATAAACATGACCGTCAAACTACAGGAGGTGATCGCTCTTGACACTGTACATCGGACGAAGTCGAAAAGTATTGTGGGCATGACGAAGCGCGAAGAGCCGTTCGTTTTAACCTCCTGGCGAGCACGGACATGGTGTTCATTGACATGGAATTATGGCTGTCTGGCTCCTGGGGCAGTACGCCAACGTTTCGTCCACTTCAATAAGTGATTGCTTTATGGGCAGGCTCTGCATCACAAAATACCGGTTCCTCGAAATCCAATGGCCCAGACGGTAACTTCCATCACCCGAATTTCCGTTAAGGCCATGCTTTTCGGACGCGGCGGTTTCATCTCATCAATCGCCGTCTGATAGGCAGTGGTAACTTGATATAAGTACGGATCATTCGCGGGGAATCCCGTCACCAAACCTTCCAACTCATCATAGACAAACCGCTAAGTCTCATCATCAATGAACACCATCAAGAAGGACGGAGTCGCCATCATTGGCGCAGGCCTTGGCGTGGGTCCCCTCTCACATGGCACTATCGAGTGTGCTACTGTAAGTGAGCTAACAGCTATCTCAGGGTACTGCTCTCGCATTGGCCCTCCACCAAAAGTCGATCCCGTGTCGGGTCTACGAAGGAAGAAGCGCAGATGCGGATATTCTCACCAGTGGTGTGGTTTTGACACCTAACGGATGCCGCATCCTCGACGACCTCGGCGTCTTGAGCCGAATCAAGCCGAAAAGCTTCCTTTTCGAAGACAGTATCACCAAAAACAGCGAAGATAAGACTGTGGATACAATGAAGCTAGCGTCCAAGGAAGTGTACGGATATCCTGCCTATCGTTTGTACCGTCTCGCCCTTCTGCAAGAGATGAAGCAAATGCTGGCCGAGCGTGAAGTCCCGATATACTTTGATGCCAAGTTCGAGAAGATCATTAGCGATTCTCCGGAAGGCGTCACCTTTCTGGCCGGCGGCAAGACGGAGAAAGCCGCCGCCGTCGTCGGATCGGATGGTATTCACTCCACGCTGAGACGCTATCTAACAGACCTCGTTCCTGTTTACACGGGTGTCTTTTGTGTGTACGGGCACATCCCCACCAACTCTGTTGAATGGCCCGACAAGGAGTTTTCCGCCTCTAGCTGCACAATTCAAGGCAAGCCGGGCGGTCTTTTCATGGTTCCTGAAGAATCGGACGGCAGAACGCTCATGGTAGGAACGCAATTCCCGCATCCCGAACAAGGCCGTGAGGGTTGGCAAGATCTGGCAGCAAGCCCTGAGACCTTGGCTTCCCTGATGCGAAAGGACTATGATCAATGGCACGACACAGCAAGGCAAATCATTGATCAGCTGTGCAAACGTCCAGAGGGCCTGTTGAGCTGGCCATTCTACACGATGCCCAGGCTGCCTAGTTGGTCTTCACAGTCGGGAAATGTCATCATCGTCGGGGATGCTGCTCATGCAATGCCGGCATCGTCGGGACAAGGTGTGAATCAGGCTTTGGAAGACGTCTACTCCCTGGCAAAGGTCCTATCTGGAAGCTGGACCGTGGAAGAACGGCCCCGCGCGCTTGGTGCTTGGCAATCCTGGCGACAGGCCAAGATTGACAAGGTGCTCCAAATGACGCGAGCAACGAATTTGAAGAGATCTCCCGAAGCCGAGAGGCAGAAGTCGACGATCGCAGTGGATGTGGAAAAGCCCGCCGTGGATCGTATGCGGTGGCTATTTGAGTTGGGCTTGGACGATTTAGAAGCAAAGCTTGCAGATGTTGACAGACATGACGCTTGAGCTTAGGTTTTATTGAGCTTGTGATAATCATAGATGTCATCACCACCTCCCGCTTAACCGACACCGGTGAAGTGCGCCGTTATCTTATCGCGCGGCCATCCTCCGCTCTCGGGAATTCCCCCGCAGTACTGTAGCAATCATCCGCGGCCAAGCTGTTACCGCAACGTGGGAAATGATAAGAGAAGCTGCGCTAACGACATACCCCCTCGCAGGTGCGGGTCTTTGCGGGGTCGTGCATGGTGATAGCTTCATTTGACAAGCATGGTGGTACCATGAGTTCCGGGTGGTTGGGTTCGGCACGTTGACCCCATCCATCATCCCGGCCGTTCTTATCTCTTGGAGGATTTGGCAAAGCGGCATCTCGAGCTGCTTCTCAGTGCATAAATATCTACAACTGTCCTTTGTTTAGCCGAGTCTTCGAGATGTGATTTGACTCCTCTAATCTTTCCGCAATCACCATGTTGAAATCAATCGTGTTGTCCGCTTTGGGAGCGCTAAGCGTTTGCTCGGCTCACTTTGTGATTCCAAACGATGATCAGGACATGTCAGGTTTGACCGTCAACTCTATTCCAGCCGCGAAGCGAGTTGAGTACATGAGAAAGGCAATTAAGCGATGAATCTTGAGGTTTCGATTGCGGTGTTCTAACATTTCCACTAGACGAATGAAGCTCTCTACCGCCAAAGTGGACCGTAAGCGTCTCCCAGACTACACAACTATCTTATGAATTGCGATTGACCGAAGGTGTCTAGTTGCCCCTTCGCCGCCTTTGGCTCGATTATCGTCAATCACACCAGTGACGAAGTCGTCTGCGAGGGCGCGAACTTCCGCACGGGAGACCCAACCAGTACGTCGTATTGATCAACTGACATGTCTCCAATTAATTTAAATTCAGTTCATGGAGAAATTTCAGCCATCAATGCTTGCACGGCGAAGTTCGCAGAGCAGGGGATGACGCCAACGTTAGCTCCGGTCCTACTACGAGACTTTGTCAAAGTTAACTGCTGACTGCTTCCCAGTGAGATCTACGCCGCATGGGGAAACCTCTCCATCTACACCAACGCCGAATCGTGTCCTATGGTACGTATCTGAAAGCCTCGGGAAGTAGCATTGACTCATTGGAAGCAGTGCGCAAGTGCCATTCGTTGGGCAGGATTCAGAGGTCAGCTAGGACGCACGACATTATTCTGGTGAAGTCAAAAGCTGATGAAATATTCACAGAATACGTTTATGGCACCACCATTCAGCATAACTACAACGTTGGCTGGGGTGTAATGACGTTGAGTAGCGTAGGTGTATCAAGACTTCCTCTAACCAACGTTTGCTAACAGCTTTTGAAGTACGATGTGTTCCAGCAGTCTCGGCAACTCCCTGGATATCAAACATCAATGATCGGGCAGATCCTTACTAATGAGACGGATCCTCTCTTTTCATGGCAATACAATGCCAGCGCACCCTGCCCAAACGAGTGCTTCCGGGTGCCTAGCGCCACAAGAGGAGGTACGGCGTGCTCCAATGTCACCGTCTCTCGAAGGGACTACGACGCACTGTGATCTCGTCGTTGAACATCGCGGACCAAAGTTTTCATGTAGTGAGAGATAGATGATGATCCAGAGAATTCCAGTACGCACTCAAATTGGCTACCGTAGACGGCAGATACAAATAGTTCGTAGCCGTAATGTGCAAAGTTCCCCCAACGCCTTTTTTTGAAATAGTCCCGCTCCGCCCCGCTCGAAATGATAAAAATTGCCAATTAATTCAAAGTTTGAGTGCCCGCAAGCAAGTCCGAAAGTATGTTTTGCTCTTGTGGAGCTCGTGCTTTCAAGATGTCTAGCTTCTCTTCTGATCATGGTCGCCAATGAATGGTCGCGGTGGAAATTTGCTGTTGACGTCGGCTAAGGCCTTCGGTTTGTCCTCCCAGTACTTGGGCTCCTCCAAGATCATGTCTAGGCCTATCTCCGGAAGGCGGCACACGAGACGGGGAAATCCAGACATACCTCGAATGAGGCTGATGTCTGAGACGCACATCTGCGTGAATAGCTTGCGGAGCAAATCTCCAGGCATAGTGCTCTTGTAAGCATCGTCAATCAGGGCGAAAAGCAAGTGGTATCCGCTGTCGCATAGTTTGACGCGGGTCAGGCAGTTGTGAATCTTGTGAAGACACAGCTGCCTGAGTTCAGAGATGTCCCACTTGTCAGCGAAGGCGTAGAGCTTGACATGGTGTTGACAGACTTCGCCAAATTCCTTGTTGGAGAGTTTCAGGTCCAGATCGACGTCAAAACCAAGCTCGTCAGGTTCAGACAGGTACGTAGGAGGGGCGTAAAGCCCATGCTGGTCCCCGCTCTTCACAAAGAGCTCCATGTACTTCAAGTACGGCTTCCTCTCGATGATGTCCGGTCGATGATCGTAATGAATGAGATGGTCACGTAGAGAGTCACACCGTTTCTCTGGCGTGAGATCATCGTCACTCAACGTCGACTGGGTGTTTTCTGAAGAGATTGTCCTCTGAAACCTGTAGTTGCCGTACGTTGTGTAGTCCAGGAAGCTGGTGAAAGTGGTCTTGTCGACATCGTCCAGAACGACGACGCCCTCTTGCGATTCGCGCATGCCGTTGCTGAGCATGCGCGTCAGCCCCTTGGAGTGAGGGGCAAACAGCTTCTCATGGACATGGAATGTCGTCTTCTCTGGCCCCACGATGAAATTGAAGACCCGCGACGTGTAGATACTGGCAGTTGTTAGTTGGCAGCCACGCACTCGACTCAACAAGGTAAGCCTGACCGGAAAGGGGGAGGGGAACGTACGTCTCTGTGTCGACGATGGTTCTACCGGCCATCTTTTTGTGTGGAGGAAGAGTACGAGTTTATTCAGCTGTGCAGTCTCAATTTGTGCTCGTCTTCTTTTAGAAATGAATTCAGAAGTTCGCGTCCGATGAAGTGATGATGAGACGTAGCAGTTGGAGGTTGTGGAAGGTGAGATTATCTAGGTAGGTAGGTAGTTGCTGGGTTTGACTTTAGCGGGCCGAGACACTCGGACGCCATAAAGTGGGGTCGGATGTGAGGGAGAGAGTCGCACCTCCTAGATTCTCCAAGCAAATTATCGTCGGAGAACAATCAACTTGAAAAAAACCCTTGTCAGAGAACGCGGCAAGGTATGAAGATTGAGTGAGGGGACTCAATGACTGATGTTGATGGTTGAAGAGGGAGGAGGATCAGCCGAGTCGTGCTTCCCATGCTAGATGAACTTCGAAAGCGTAAGCGCGTGTCTTAGTGTTCTTAGAAAAGCCCACCTGCCTAGCACCAATATGTGGTATTTAAATGAAGACTAACAATTTTACTCAAGGCAGTAGTGAGATTCGCTACTACCTCGGATCGGAGTCATGAATAAATATCACACATTCACGCAAGTAGCCCACCCACAGCACCTTCTTATAGCACCCACTCCGGTCGTACCTTAGTCTACGTAGAAAGCTCACCTACCTTCAGATCCCAAAAGCACCACAAATTACAAATAGAAGTAACGTAGAGCTGCTGTCACAGTCGGGTCTTTCTAACGAGAAGTAAATTAAAGATTGAATACAACAGGAAGTACTCTTGGTTTCTGATGTCTACGCTTGCGATTATCCCACTCTTTCACTCTAAGACTTCTTCTAGTCGTTGCCCCCGTTTCAAGACACATCCATGCTTCAATCTTGTATTAGTTACCGCTGTTGTGGCGTTTTCAGTCCATTTCAGAAAAAGAGTTCACCCACGAACAGCCTTCATCACCACTGGAATATTTAGACATCTCGTTGGCTTTGCTTGTCAATGGCAGTCCTGCCCTCGGATAAAACGTTAATCGGGGTCTTCAAGTAAGTTTTGAAGCCTGAAGTGAAGAATTCTGCATTCAGGCGCCTCTCTGGGGGGACAAATGGATTCGATGAGATAGACAGTCAAGACCAACCCCAAAGGTTTAAGCTATTCCCCGATGCAGCTGTATTCGAGGATGCCATCTGGTGATTTGTGAGTTTTCTGGCCGCTGTAGATTTCAGCGGCACCTCTGAAGCCAGACGAAGCGAGAAAGACGTCCGTCGCACCGGCTACTTCGGCACAGTGAAAGCCACACGTTCTTAATCTTTTCATATCTCAGACTGCATCAATCATCGAGATGACGTAGCCCCCTCCAAAAGCGCCTGCGGCGACGATATAACCATACACATTCAGCGTGTTTTCGTTGACGACCCATGACCCTGAGTCACCATCGAAAATTTCTGTATGGCAGTCGGTTAAACTGACAGAAATCGAGTACGCCTAAGAAGATGCCAAATTCCTACCGTCGTTGAGACATACGACGAAAGTGTTAATCAACTTGTTCCCTGGCTCAACAATAAGCGTTGAGGGAAGAGATGAAATGTATTCGCGTTTTAATCCTTGCGAACCAGTCATAACGAGCACTGGCTGCCGGTTGCCTGAAGACAAAGTGGGCATCACAACGTCCTTAATTTCTGCTTCACTAAGCTTTCATCATGAACTCTTGAAACTAGCATATTAGGCCTGGAAGCACCCATGAAATCCGAACTAACGGGGCTTCGCGAATAGATACTATCTAAAATCATAGCTGCAGTTCCTGTCAATAACCCTCGTCAAGTCAGCACTCCCAATCAAGCATTATTGAGAATCTACGGTATTAGTACCATGAACCTCTGATATGACGATCCATGATGACATTTCAAGATTTCAAGACGAACGGTGCAGAAAAACGGAGATTGGGGCATCTTTATTTGTTTCCTTTTAACCCGCCAACAATACAGCCATTTACTACTCTACAACCACTCAAACTAAGTCGAAGACGATACCAATGGGACTACTAGTAACAGAAATCTTCGACACGGACTTTTCCGCCGCGGCAGCCAAGCTCTGTGCGGCTTCGCCGAGAGGTGTGCTCACCAGACGTCCCCAGTGCACCGAATCCGTCGACTGAACCTCGAAATCTTCGGCTACGGCTTCCAGTTCACCTTGGACTGCCGTGATTGCAGCCTTGGTTTGATCATCGACTACGTCAATGTATTCTACCGCACTGAGCTGCTTGATCGCGAGGCCCTTCCTGAGCCACACCGAGCCCATCATACGCGCGAGACTCAGCCGGTTTTTGGTCTGGTCCTGACTATTCACCGCCTTCTCTGCCACAAGCTTGTTCAAGAACGAGTCAACCTCCACTTTGACAATCGGCGCGCTGCCACTCTGGAACTCGGTGCTGTACACTTCCATAGCCGCCCCGGCATCTTTGAATGAGTAGGCCGAGGCACCACCACCGGCCTTGAACGTTGAACGGTAACTGTTAGACTCGGATGCTGACTCCGCCTTATTGAACGCCATTCGCATATCCGACTTCTTCGTTGGCTTCTTGGCCGGCTTCTGCAGTTCTGTTCGCGCTTCCGCGGCAGCGAAGGACTTTGGCGGGCGGTCGCGCGGTTCGGTCGGGTCGACGTTCTCGGTGATGGTACCTTTGTACCAGTACACTGTCTCCCCCTTGCTCAGCCCGAGGGGAACAAGCGAGTTGACGTCGATGATGAAGCCGCCCTCTTCCTTGGACTCGCGAAGCACGCAGTCTGCTAGGCTCTTGTCGGATCGTGAGTCGTAGCCGCCTCGGGGCAGGATGTAACCGACAGCGTCGAAATCGCCGTTGGCGGGGATCGTCCACACGTTATCGCTCTTGTCGAGAGGAACGACGCCGCAGCGCACTCGGCCGTTCATTATTAAGACTGAATATTTTCATGGTCAGCTTGTAACTTTGAAGAGGATCTACGCAGGTGTTGGGAGCGCACCAGAGCCATCTTTGTCACCGCCGTCGACTATATCCGGGGGCAGATACCAAGGGTCGACGTTGTCTAATGCCAACCAGTCGTTCTCATCGCCGGCGAGAAGTCCGTTTGTCCCTTGTGCTTTGACGGCGATGAGACTGAAGGCGCCCCAAAGGGCTATTTTGCACAAAGTTCTCGCAGAGTATTGCATTTGTGGCAGAGGACGTAGCACCTAGCGCAACTAGTAGGCGGGAACCAAGGAAATATCTACCCATCTATATAACGCAGTGAGAAAGCCTTTCTTCAAAGTGATTAAGCGACGTGCATCTTTCCATATTGTAATTTCAATTGAGGCCGAGTTCAGGAGGTCACAACGGTGACGCCAACTGTGAAGCCATGTGTTCGGCATCTTGCGATCCAACTTAAAGTTTCGATCGGAATCTAGTGCACATGTTGACCGGTAATGAGAGCCCTACCGGATCTTGCAAAAGTGTCCGTCCGTACGAGGACAATAAAGAGCATGAGTGTAATTTGCTCATTGTTGATTTAGATGCGGAAGACCCCTGACTAATAAGCTTTCGGCAACTCCATTGGTAGCTGGGCTGTGCGTCGTTCTCTGGGGCTCGGCGAGAGTTGCTATTTTGGGCCGCAAACTCTACTGGAACTCTTTGCTAATGGACCACCATTCATTTGGTGAGTCGCTCCAACTTGAATTTGTGCGAAGCGTTCGGGTCGAATGGGATGGACACGACGAATACAGTGACTTTTGACTCATAT